ATCGAGCCGATCGGAGATGTTTGGGGTATCGACGATTCGAGTCGCTCTTTGTTGGATGCGGTCCAGAGGAAGAAGCTGGTACTGAGGTGCCCCTGCATAGAGATGAGAACAGTATTCCATCCATTTCCATTTTGTTCTGTGTCTAGGTGTCAGTTTTTATCAAGACAACTCTCGCTCTAGGAATATACGTATCTGTTTCACGGGGACTTTACAAACATTTATAAAATGGACATAAAGAACATTCAGACTCAAAACAACAATTTGTGGATCACACAAAGTGTTGTCCCATCATCAACAGCCTTTAACAGTCCACTGCTGGACATAGGCCTCTCCTTAGAAAGGAGGTTTGTGTCTCATCTCTCTGTTTGTGTTTGTTTGTGTTGTCCCATATGAGGATCAAACTTTGAACTCAGGTCTTTTAGCTCCGATTTGTAAAAATATCTGAAAAATACTTCACTAATAAATATCATTTCATTTCAGCGCAGTAAGAAGCGGCGAGTAACCGCTTATACGCCTACACTATTCCATCAGTCAAGTTATTTATCTACAAATATGAGTGTATTTTGAAATAAATAAGTATGTATGTTGATGAGCAATATTATGCATAATTTGGGATGAGATGTGTAAGTTACTTTTATTACCTGACCTGACAAAAAACCTACAAAATCTTTTCTATAAATATATGAATGGTGTAAGTTTCACTATTAAGTACTAACTTTTATAGTTATCTTGTACGTATTATGATAGGAAATAAATGGCCATTGATCATCACTAAGTGTTCCAGTTTTGAACGTTTTCTTTCGGTTTTGGCACCAAACACTTTTTTATTAAACTAGCTATGCTGTTGTGGCATTTACAATGTTCGATGTTTAAAATTTTTGCTTGGTAAATAGATTATACTAGCTGTACCCAGCCACGCTTCGCTTTGAGAGCACTGTGGTTGTATAGATGAGAACTGAGGCGCAAAACTGACACGAAGAATAGATACACATCTTTGAAGTATTCTTTTTGATATTTAGAAGTCTTCGATTGTATAGTGCAGTATGCAGCATGATTGTTTTTACTGTACTGTACTTTTTACTGTGTACTTTTTATACATGTAAGCTTCAAAGTAGCAGGCCGCCTGATGGTGACCGATTACTAATTTAATTTTGTAGTAATTTAAGATGTAAGATATTGTGCACTTTATTCCGTATAAGTTAAAATCGTAATTTACGTAACCGTATTTAGCTATGTACATATCTCATGTGACGTTACATACAAATGTAATAAACTAGGACATGTTTACAATGAACACTTTAGAGAAAATAACTTTACATTTATATGTGTACTTAATGTTCAAACTTGTTTAATCAAACAACAAATTCAATTTGTAATAAAGGTTGCTTAACTCGTATAGTGCGTAATTGTTATTATCGCGTAAATACAATTTGGAATAGTCTACATAGTTACTGTAGCCTAAAAGATGACCCTCGGCAAGTGACTTTGAGTCTTGTTTTAATAAATTTAAGATTGAAATGAGCTTGTGTGGTACATCGTCTACGAATGTGAGTTATATAGCCATAATCTATATCTATAAAAGAAGAAACTGATAGACCGCTTTATCTTTGAAATTCTGTACAAATGTGCCGCTTCTTGAAACTTCACCTCCCGGGCTGTGACTAACGTGTCATCGGCAAAACAAATTACACCCAGCCAAGAGGAAAAATCAGCTCCAAGGGCCCAGTCGTACCCCATGTTCCACAAGAGGGGTCCAAGAACAGACCCTGTGGAACACCGCACCTCAGATTACCATCTCGGTCCTCATACACGGCGGTATGCTCATCTAAATAATCTGCCTCCAGCCGCCTCGAAAAGCGAATTGGCCGTCCGACAGATCGGGGCCTACCTCGTAGAGTTGGCGGGCAAAAATTTACTCGCCTCGTCCAGGAACACGATGGGCCTCCGACCGAATCGGCAGGCCTTCCCGGCTTTCTTAATAGAGCCAGCTTCCCGCTCTTCCAGTAGTCATTGAAAGTCCTGACGCTAAGCTAGCATATCGCCCTAGCACTCGACCTCGAGGGCTATAGCTAGGGCATGGAAAATCGCAACATCGAAATTCGGAATAAAATATTTCGGAGTATTTGAGTGTAAACAAATCTCACATACACATACGCACACACCCTCACGCAACTCACACACACACACACACACACACACACACACACACACACACACACACACCCTGCATGAATTTTAATTCCATAATTAAATTAACAAAACAATTTTTGCTCCCGTAAAAAGGGAAGGACGCTGGCTCTGCCAAAACAGTATTTACTAGTGTATGGATCACTTTACGACAATGATGAATAATAGTAGGTAATTATTATAATATTGGGATAATATACCACAGTCCTTATAAAAAGAACCTCTATTTACAGAAAACTATACGTGACGTCATTGTATGTATCCAGGTCTAAAATATAGGCCATTTTCAAAATGCATTTTGCAAATGGCGAGCTTCGGATGCATGGCTGCACCCGTCTGGTCATCTCCTCCGTAGTGGATTGTGTCGTACAATGAATACTGTATGATGTTCCACCCACAGGGTGGTAGAAAATGTTTCGTGGACTATAAACAAACTTAAGTGGAGATACACCGGTGTATAGAAGTACTAAGCTGAGTACACGTAGACTTAATAGAGAAAATACGTTTATTTTTTACTTAATCTGTCCTATCAAACGAAGGTCACTTTATTTGTTAATTCACATCACATCAACAGCCTTTTATATTCCACTGCTGGACATAAGTCTCTCCTTGGAAAGGAGGTTTTGGCCAAGTTTGTTTGTGTCAAGTTTTCCTTCTCTCTGCAGTGCTGTTGTTCTGCGTAGTTTTTTCCCTTTGTCGGCTCTTACGACGCCCACGGGATGAATAGGGGTGGTGACACTCTGTATTCTTAATCCGTCACTATACGGACAGACACCTTTCTTAGTCGGTCTTACAATATACAATATTTGCTAGTAAAATGTCGTTTTTAGCCCCAGCGATTTAGGCTCTGCGTTGATGAATCAGTCAGGGCAAGTAATTTTATCCACACGGATTTATTAATTTATGAATTAGTTATCCAAATTAAGCTTTGACTTAATTTGGATAACTAATTAGATTATATGTTTTATTTTAAAATAAATGCGACTGTTTGTAAATGTACGGATGTTGAACTGGAACAGTTCATCCGTGATCATGGCGCTTTCAAAAGTGCCGAAATATCGGAAACCGATTCCCGAAAATAAACATGGTAAATTTCCTATTAATAATAACTTATCACATGTATGTAAATGGCCATGGTAGTTTACATCAATGCAATGCATAGGCACTTTTTAAAAAGCTAGAGAATATTTTTTTTTTAATTTTCAATTACACACTTTTTACACCGGGTAAAACGAATCTAACGACTCCTTCCAAGCCAAAATCCATCAATCTATGAAGCCGTTAAGACTACAGAGCGTGCCGAATTTAACACTCAAAAAACAATCATCCTTCTGGGGCAGTTGAATCTTGGAGCTTGTATATAATAACTGGAATCCTGTCACCACATCATGAAATGAATCATCATCATCTATGAAATGAATTCACAATTAACCTAACGTTGTGTACGGAGAAATTTTACCTGACATACTGACAAGCATTAAATTAAAACGTCCGATGAATGTGGATCGTTGAAAATTACGTTCTAAATTTTCTGCCTACTCCGGTCAGGGATAAAGTATGGGCATATCATTAAATGTAGGGCAAGAATAAATAAGTTCTGTTTCCCATTACATGGAGTATTTTGTTGTTGGCAATAATGTTTTTCTTTCTTTCTTTCAACTATATTCGGCGGCATCATCAAAGGTCGCTGTTTTCCCTTCAGTGAAATATTTGTATGCATGTGTTATAATTTCGTTTTATATAGACTATTTATGTTTAATGTTGTGGAATTGCAGTATATTATTGTTTACTGATTGAAAATTAAATGATTTTCTTTCGAAAATTCGCCTGACTATACGTAATTTTTTCGCACATCTGGCACAAAATGCCATCTAGTTTTATCAAAGCTAGTTTGACTGATAGAATACTTATATACTTTTTCTTTCATAAATACATACTCGTACATATTATGCATAGAAAATACCCAAACTCCGAAACAAATATTTGCAGATCATACAAATATTTGGTCCAACCCGGGAATCAAACATGAGATCTCAACTCTTTCTGAATGAAGAGTACACTATGTCCTTCACAATATTTTTAACAACATTTAAATATTGAATTTTATCTGTCACAGCTTCATACTATACCTTTGACGACCGAATGGCGTAGTGGTTTGTGTAACGGACTGCTATTCCAAAGGTCGCGGGTTCGATTCCCGCTCAAGTCAAACATTTGTGTGCATGAACATTTGATGTTTGATTTGGTCTGGGTGTTTCTATATATAATATGTAAGTATTTACAAAAAAAAAGTATATATGTATTTATATCAGTTGTCTAGTACCCATAGTACAAGCTCTGCTTAGTTTGGGACTAGATGGCGTTGTGTGAATGTGGTAGAATATATTATATTATATATTATATTATATATATTATTATATAACCTTTGACTCAATTATTTTGAGGTACCTCCCAAAATGAAATATTTTATTCTGTATTTTATTCAGTTATTTTTAGTCAGACTGTCCTTTCAGGTCATTAACTACAATTAATTGGCACAATTACAGATAGTCAAATTGAATAACGGAATTGTATGTCACGTAACACCGAGCATTTATAATGAAAGAAACGGAAGTTTAAAAAAATTGAAGATAAATTTGTGTAAATAACAGATTTACACAAATTTATTTAAAGATTTACGACTAAAAAACCTAATAATAATATGCGGTTCATGTTGTTGAAGTAAGTATTCGTTTTTTGTATTGTGTGAGAACCCCCCACTTTACAATTTACCATCTTACCGGGGCTCATTGTAGTTTGTCGGAGTCTACTATTTAAGGTGACAGTGATCGGTGTTCCAGTTCCAAACCCTGGAGGGTCCTCTTCGACACATTCGTCACATCGTCTGAGATCATTCTTTGCTCTATAGCACCTAATGCCTCTTCTTTGGGACGAGAGAGTATCGAATCTCTTCCATTCTCTTTCTGTCCCCTTTCTTTTGCTTTGCTAAAAAGCTTTGGAATCGCATGCTGAGTAAACCCCATGGTCCAAAGTGACGTTATATTTTCTCTCCAGCAAGAAAATATAAAGGTTCTTTGTCACGTCTAAACGCTAAAAAGAAACAAGTTAGGATTAGAAATGTGACTCGAGTTAAATAGAACTAAACCAGAACTAAACAAGTGTAAAAGCTGCAGACTCGTTAGTCCATCCTGCTGTAACTATTAGTGTAATTAACTGAGTAAACAAAAATTCAGGTTGAGACATTCATTATACACTAGCTGACTTGCTCAGCTTCGTCTTAATCTTTGAAAAAGAATAATTTTGTCTCGTTTCAACTATATTTTTCATTCTTGCTCGGTTCCTATTAGTAATTGGCTATCCAACACTAATAGAATTTTTCAATTCGAACCAGTAGTTCCTGAGATTAGCGAGTTCAACTAAACAAACAAACTCTCTCTTTACAATATTAGTGACTGCACGGATGGCTTAGTGGTTTAAGCGGTCGCCACTTTGTTTGATCCACAAATTGTTGTTCTGAGTCTGGGTGTTCTTTGTGTCCGTTTCATGTATGTTTGTAAAGTTACCCGTGATACAGGATATGCGGGAGTTATCTTTTTTTTTTAAGAAAAAAGATAAAAGAAAATAGTAAAGCTTTATATATTAAATCATACTCCGACTGAAGAGAAGTATATAAATTAGAGAACGATTAGAGGCAATATTTTTTTATGTCAACAAGATATAGGACTCAGTACATTTCTCCTCGAATTAAACTGACTGTACTGTGTAATATTCCTAACACACCCTAGGGACGACAGCAGTGTTAGCATTAAACACATGCAAACCTTACATAAGTACTATCTCATCCATATATAGAGCGTATTTAAAGTCCTCATTTTTATCATCATCAACATCCTTTAATAGTCTACTGCTGGACATAGGCCTCTCCTTAGAAAGGAGGTTTTGGCTTACTATACCACGATGACCACATTTTATATTTTTTTGTATATTTGGAGGGGTTTGATGGGAGTGATACTATGACCTCACAGAAAACCGCTTTAGCAATTATTTAAGTGAGTGAAATACCAGACTTCAACTCTACCCCTCCCCCAATTTTAGAGATTTTTTTTTAATTTAACTCCCGCACTAAGAATATATCCTGTATCACAGAGAAACTTACAAACATAAATGAAACGGACACAAGAAACATCCAGACGCAGCACAACAATTTGCGGATTACACAAATTATTTTCCCTTGTGTTGATCGAACCCACAATACTCAGCACAGCAGGCAGCCACGGGGCGACCGCTTAAACCACTACGCCATTCGTGCAGTCCTCTTGCGCGCCCAACTGCAGGTGTTCATTCAGATTGTTAACTTAATCCTTAACTTAAATTAAAATATGTTTACTTAAAATATATTTAATTCCAACGTTGCCAACCATGTAAGTACATAAATAGAATGAAAGTAGTGACATAAGGATAAAATATTATTTCCTGTTGACAATAGATTTTGTTCTTAAGATGTTGTGAACGTTTTAGTGCAGGAAAACAACAGGAACTTAGTACAAGGCTTGTGTTTTTGCATGAATTTTCCTGTAAGGTGAAAGTAATTTCCATGTACGTTGAAGGTTTGAGTGAGAGCGATCATTTTATAAATGAGATTAAATGCTTTTATGGGATTTATCAGTACGAGAAAGTAGTATTAACACGGTATCCTACTAAAAGTTCTGACTCAGACTGAGCGTTAAAACACTTTGGTAATATATAAGAGACCGTAGCTTAGTGGTTAAGGCATTGGACTTGCGATCAAGAGGTCGTGGGTTCGAATCCTGACCAGTACACTACCGACGTGAACCCAATCCTAACACAACCCATTTAGCTTAGCTGGAGGGGTTAACAGAAATACTAGTAATTTCGGTTGCTAGTAACCCTTTAAAAAAAATGTGAATATATTTTTTTTAAAGATAACTCCCGCATTAGGAAAATATCATGTGTCGCGGGGGACTTTACAAACATACATGAAACAGACACAAAGACCACCCAGACTCAGAACAACAATGTGTAAATCACACAAAGTGTCGTCCCATGTGGGGTTCAACCCACAACACTCGGCGCTGTAGGAAGCGGCGTAGCGACAGCTTAAACCACTACGCCATCCGTGCAGTCAAATTAATTTATACATGTATGTATTTTTTCACTGAGCGTGATTCGAACCCGAACGAACGAATTTTTATTCGATCCTCCTCTCCCTTATATTCAATAAGGGAGAGGGGGATCGAATAAAAAACAACATAAAACAGCAAATCATTTCACTGTGTTTATATAACTATCTACAATTTAACTCAATAGCAGCAACATCTTCAGTTTCCTAATTGTATGAATAACGAATTTTTATACCCAATCAACGGTAGTGACTCAGTCTTAACACTGCAGTATAAAAATTCAATCGTATTGGCAGCGTCGTGGCGACACGAGCGAGCGATTCGAGCGACACGACGCAGCCGCGGCGGCCGAGTGTGCGGGTGACGCGTCATTATTTCCTTTGTGAATAACCGCGTGTCGTGTTGTCGCCTTGTCGCACTAGGTCTGTGCTGGTGTTGCTATATTTAGAACACTTTGTTGCCTTAGTGATGTGGTTAAGGCTCGAATACTCGGCTTTAGTGCTTTATTTGGTTTTATATTTTCGTAATTTAACTTGCGTGGTTTTAAAATATTAGGAGTTAAAGTTTGAAATTGTCAATTTGTACTGAAAAGTTGTTTTTTTCTAAGATGTAACATGCTTAACATACATTGCTGCCATCTAAACGGAATTTAATTTACGCCTTTACGATAAAACTCTGGAGATCTAGAGTCGATAAACTGTGTAAAAGCATTTTGAACTGCCTCATGTAAAGATTTTTTCTAACTCGTAGGAAATTGTCCAAATCACGAAAAAAATGGTAGTCCATTGGAGCAAGGTCTGGCGAGTACGGAGGATGACATATGGTTTCTAACTGCAGTGAGGTCTTGCGTTACCATGGAGCGATACTGGTGAAGACCGATTCACGCGTCAGGGCTGTTTCACTGCCAGTTTCGCCATCATCGTTTGAAATTTTTACAGTAGATTTAACACCGGTATTCTGTGAGTCCGTGGTATCACTCAGGTCGAGCTGGCCCTGTTGTGTCACAGCATAGCTCTCCCACGGCACTCCGACTTCTTAAATATGAGAGTGGTAAAGCGAGTGACTGCACGGATGGCGTAGTGGTTTAAGCGGTCACCTCGCCGCTGCCTACTGCACTGAGTGTTGTGGATTCGATCCCAAAACACTCAGTGCAGTTGTGGGACAACAAAGTGTTGTGTATGAGCCACAAATTGCTGTTCTGTGCGGGAGTTGTCTTTAAGAAAAAATAAAAAGACTTACAAGGTAGTTGCTAAGCCAAAAATACTTTTGATAATTCCATCACATACCTATGACAGTTAGGAAAACTAAATAGTTGCGTCCTTAGTAGCAAAAATCAAACTTACAGAAGCCATCTGAAGAAAAAAACAACTTCGATGATGTACTACAAAAGAATAAGAACAGGGTCCAGTCAGCAGTACCTAATTATATCTACATAGTTACTTCCTGTAACCGGGAGTCTGTAGGACAGATAGCTATTCGTGCCAGATCTCGCGACGACTCTGAGGTTACCCCTCATATCACTGATAGATAAGCTTCCGTTTACATACGTGGGAAACTTTATTATTTACTGTACCACAGACTGTGAAACAAATGAGAATCAATGAGAATGAAAATGAAAGGAGAATTTTTATTAAACTAAGGAATTTCTAACAAATAAGGAATCGTAAAAATAAGAAATGGAGCAAGAGCCCAATATAATTGATACATGGTTGACCTGAAGAAAGACTAATAATATTATCATCATCAGCCAGTCCACTGCTGGACATAGACCTCTCCCATTGCACGCCACTTAGATTGATTTTGGGCTTCTCGCATCCAGCTCCTGCCAGCCATCTTGCACAAATCGTCACTCCACCTGGCCTGTGGGCGTCCTACACTACGTTTGCCGAGACGCGGTCTCCACTCAAGAACTTTTTTTCCCCAACAGTTGTCGGTTACCTTGGTTCTCTGCCGGATCACCTCATTTCTGATGTGATTCCTTAGAGAAACGCCGAGCATAGCCCTTTCCATAGCACGTTGAGCGGCTTTGAACTTGTGGACCTAATATAATAATATTATACAGGTACTTTAATAATTTGTTAAATTTGCATGCTATTTTCATGGCTAAATGGGCCTGTTCGTTTATTTCAAACTTGTTTTATAATACCCCATGTAAAGCAAATAAATAATTTAAATGTTGCCATATTTTTAAAGGTAGCACTGACTTCACTTACAGGTTATTGTTTTTATGATTTAATAGTCTAATAAAAGGCGATGAAAAAATTCACGGCACAAGGTTTCCACAACGCCAATTCTCGTAAAAGTTCGGTCTCAATTCAGTTCCGATCAACTTTCGATCTCAAAACTGTCATAAAAGGTATTTTCGTAGTAAAGTATTAAACATCCAATGTTGACTGTAATGGGATTATATCGTATTGTAAGCGAAAATTGAATCGGTAATCTGCTAGTCTTAGTAATACTTTACTATTTTACTACAAAAATACCTTTTATGAGTACTACTAGTGATACTTGTAAGATCGAAAGTTGATCGGTACTGAATTGTGACCGAACTTTTATTACTACAATTGGCCTTCTGATCTGAACAATGAAGAACCTTAGTACTTAGATAGATTCTGCTTCCAGGTTCTGTATTATGGAACTCTTCAGTGTGAAGTTGTAATAATAATTCGCTCATTTTAACATTCATGAATTTTTCACCGTTTCACTTCAAAGGTTGACAACGTACTCGTAGTTCTTGAGTTACGGGTGTTCATGGGCGTCGGTAGTCACTTACCATCTGGTGACCAAAGCTTTTGCGCCTATGTTATAACAAAAAAACATGGTGTCTATGGCTGTCCATTATTAAAAAAAAACGCAATGTAAACAATCTATTAAAATGTAAT